ATTAATATGAGGAAGGGATTACAAGGAGGACCAGCCACCTCACCAGTCAGTCCCAACCGCGATAAATCAGAGAGGGAGGGCAAAAACAGAACATGCTTAACAAAGCCATCTTGGGAAGCGTGTTCTTAGAGGCTCCACAAACCGGATCGCTGCGATGCAAAGACGTGAGCGACATCGCACATGCAACTACATGCGATAAATTGCCAGAGTGCGACTGAGGAGGAGCCAGAAAGTATAGTCAGCGCGCATGTGATGCCAAGAAACTGGGCGATTTAGCCGCATGTGCCAGCCGAATTTGCTAGCATCTCCATGCCAACAAGAGGGAGGGGGGCCGCAAAGGAGCAAAAGAAAATCACATGTTGGGCAACCGGTGTACTGTTGCCGTTGCACTAAATCATGAGATGCCCGAAGGATTTCCTGCTGGCACAGGCTTCTGTTAAGCTGCGCAAGACGTAATTGCATCATGCCGAGCTCAAGTGCAGGACGCGGGTGAAGCTGCTGAACCAGCAAGAAACACCTCAAAGAATGTCGAGCAGCTGGGCCGCCCTGGTGCTATTCGGACTAGTGACGTCTAGTGTGCTCAAAACCTGAACACGCTTGCTGACCTGTGTCCTGAGGGAAGAAGATGACGATGAGGAGGAAGCTGAAAATGATTCTGATGCCACATCCTCCGGCTCGGAGTGATGCAGATCAGGTGCAGGAAGCGCGCTTCTTCTTAAGCCATTTGGTGGCAACTCTTGCTGTTTGCAGCCTACCGCTGCTGGCAGCAATTTTGCACCAACTTGTTTCACAACAGGCCTCGCCGGCACAGGTTAACGCGAATCTGCACAAAAGCAACCAGGTGGATACAACGCCATGTAACATCTCAACCTGTACCGCGCGAGAACCCTCAACCAGCCATTTGCAGCAAACAAAGAGTACGGGAGGAAGCTTGACAGCTACTTGATGGAGTGTAGACGGCACCGGGCAAGCCTGGAACGCTGACTTCAGCGAGGAAGCCGAAGAGCTGTGAATGCTGAAGTTGCTCGTTGTGCCACCATACCCATGTGAGTCTGTAAGCGCTGTTTTCAGAGCTTGCCAGCGATCACCTAGCGAGACATACCACGCAAAGCCTGGGTGTGACTGCCAGGCTGAACTGGATGCATGCCACACACTTCTTCACTGCCATCGACACAGCATTTGGCAACGAGTGCTGCGCAGCGTGAGTGCAGAACATGGCAGTTTGGGTTGGTGGTGATGCGTGTTCATGCTTTGTGACTTTTTCCTCAAAGGAGCACATGGAGGTTTAGAGCAGCGGTGATGGCCACGTGGCACAGCAAAGGTGCAAGCTCATACAGCTCTTACACGCGTTGACGGGTCAACGTCCGCTAGGCATTCGTAGAACCCAACCTGACCCAACGGACGTAGACGGCACCAGCACTGAGACATGGCTTGGCCAACTCCACAAAAGAGCAAGGAGCTGGAATTTTCCAGCTATGCCGGTGCATGCGCTCTGCCAGAGTCAGCCCACACACAAGCAGACTAGGCAAGCAAGCAGAGGCACGCCGCACGAGGGAGCTATGGCCACGGGCTATGATCGCGGAGCTCACTCCCAGGTTGTGCAGAACAGCCTTCAAGCAAGACTGGATTCCAAGGAGATCCCAAAGTGCCCAGCCAGCATTGGACGTGCAGGCCAGTGCCTGCTCTCTCACTTTTGCTGGACAGGTGGGTTTGCGAATGTGGCGCCGCCAACCTGTCGACCTGGAGTCACTGCACGAAATGCGGCAAAGCTCCACGCGAGGACCTCACTTTTCGCGACATGAATCTGGGACATTGTTGACCGTGTGCTTGAGATCATTCACTTTGACTGTGGAAAATGGGAGCAGAATGTGGATGAAGCTGATAGCATAAAGAGGAAGAGTCCTACAGTACAGCAACGCCACAGTATCTTGCGCGTCCTGAGAGGGACGAACAATCTAGAAATGCTGGTGTTGGTCATCATGGATAGGTCAGATGGCTCTCAGCCATGCAGGACAGGGAGATGAGGATGCAGGCACGTGCAGTCCAAGGCCTCGGCCGAGGTGGAGGCTGCTTTGACCTGAAAGGAAATGCTTCATCATGGCTTTGCCGGGTTTGTTGTGTTTCCAGGGCATTCATCGGCAAGCATTTTTATGATCGCACGTCGAAGCCAATAGATCACGACCAAAGTTGATGCTAGTCAGGCCATCTGTACTTTTCAAACAGTTTTTCGTTCTGGGCTGCTGCTGAAGAAACGTGAAATTCAGTACCTGGCCAATTGAAGAACACATGATGCTGTAATGATTGCAGAAAACATGGCAACGTCATTACAGCACCAATCCAAAAACTGCGCCAGCTACTATCTGGGTTGACACCTGATGACATCATCGATGTCACATTGAACATCGGCTGAACCATGCTGTCAGGCTACTTCGAGCGCACCACCACCGCCGAGAAAAGGGACAGCGAGGACCTGAGAAAAGTCAAAGGCGGCCTGGACATCTACGGTCGAACCCGCACCGGCGACAACTCTCCAAAACTCTCGCCCGCGCGGCATCGTAGCCCTCCAGAAGGAGGACCACGCAACGGCCTCGTGCATGCCTCAATGCAGAAGATCGAATAAACCGGATTCTGAGGGTACGTGAGGGTTTCCAAGACCTTATCCACCTTCAAGTTGGCCAAGGATGCAATCGGAACGGTGCCTTCAAAGACAGATCGACAGAAAGCCGCGCTGGAAAGATTGCGCGCGCCAAAAAAGAAGCGTCACCTGGCGAAGGGAGCATCTGCGCTGACGGTCTTCCTTGTTGCGTCATCATGAGCGCCCGTGCGTGACAACTGCAGCAGAAACTGAGGAGATGAGTTGTCTCCACCACGAACACGCGTCTACCGAGTGCTCCGCTTGAAAGGCTTGCCATCTCTGCTAGTCGAGACTGCCATAGGCTTCCTGTGACCCATGTTAGCATTTTTAGTATCATGAGACACCACGTGTGATCGGCTGAGGAAAAGTCATCCAGAAGCCGAAGTCTTGAAAGACGTCGTGAGTCAAGAACTTGGCGAGGAAACTGAGCATCAGCATGTATTCATTTAGGGCAGCAATGGGCTCGATAAACCTGCACAAAAGACCGCGCGACGTTGAGAAAAAGGCAGAAGCATGCCAGGAGAGTGTGGAACGATTGCGTTGTTGCGCCATGTTGCACCTTTGTTTTTTGACGGCCTTCAGTTTTAATGCTTGTCCCACAGTAGGTGCATTGGTCAGTCAGGAATACAGCGCCCATAGATGAAGGCATTCTGACTCTACAGGTTTGCCCAGGCTTATGTACTAAGAACAACACCTACTGCCTGGCAACTTGCCAACCTCTAATCCATCATTGCAAAGAAAACAAGCTGCCCGTCTTGACATCAGACTGCGTGAGGCTGTGCTAGGAACGGACGTGAGCCGCGCAGTCGTACTGTGGCTGCTTTGCCAAGGCTGGCATGTTCAGGACCAAGACCTTCCAACAAGGGGGTCGTGCCTTCAGAGAATTGTCTGAAACGTTCATGCCAAGTGGAGTGGTGCCCGCCCCAATGCCCGCAGCACAGTTGAATTAGCAACAGAGTGCCGAGGCTACGACTATTTCCTTCGACTCGATATCGTTTTGCGCTCAGCCATTGCTTGGCATGCCAAAGATTGCCAAAGCATGCTCAGTCATTGCGCTTCCCGGAGATGGTATGAGGACCTCTTCTTCGTGGAGGAGCCTGTGCTGGACCCCTTTGAACACATGGCAGCCACTGCGCAACATATATGATCAAGTGTCCAGACTTGAATGTAGGAAAGAAATTGAGGATGAGTCATCGAAGCTCAAAGCTGTACCCTGTAAAGCCAGGGACACCCTGAAAAGCGACACCTGGCAATTTAGACTTGTCATACCTTTGTTACTATACACAGAGCTGGGGCGTCATCAAAAGCCCAACACCCAAAACATGGATTTCGACCCAATTCCAAACCCCTGTAAGGCGACGGAGTGCCCAAAGGGACCCCTTCGCTAAGACCACTGCCCTGCCATCAAGTTATCACAGACGCTTATATCGGTGGTGAGCTGCTGGGACACATTCCAAGTCGATGTTGCAAGTGAGTACCGCGCGCCAAGGAAAATGGCTGCGTGATGGACTGCATCTCAGTGATGACGGAAGCCAAATATCAAGTTGAATTGTTCAGAGACCCACAGGTCTACGACCGGCTATCGCGTGAAGCGCCTGGCTGCTTTGATGACTTCGATCGTCGAAGCCAAGAGCTGGAATCTGAGTAGCAGCATTTCTAGAATCTAGAATCAGGCTCGACAAGCAACAGCCAGGTTCCTGGACAGGATGGACTACGACGGTCGGCCGGATGGTGATATCCTCCAAATAGGAAGCGACAGCTTTGGAATAGCTTGGCATTGATCCTCGACAGCTCCTCGCGAGCTCCATGAGTTGTGGAGGATTTGGTCCTGCAGCAGCCGGTGGTCAGTGAGCAGCTGAACTGGCAGGGGAAAACTTTTCTCAATCTTCTTTGTCAGTGCTCTCTGTCGATGCAAAGGTGGACCATCGGTGATGTTCGCTTGTTCACCTCACCATGGTGCGCCGGACACATTATATTTGGCAAGCCATGAGCTGGTCCCCATTGACAGGTATCTCCACTTTGCTGACTTCTGTGCGAGTGGCATCTACACTCACCGCTGGGCAATTCTGGCTTGTGATGGAAGTCGGCCAGATTAGGTACCTCATTTGATGACCTCCGCCAGGCAGACCAACTGATTTTGCTGCGTGGTGCCGCTCTCTTCGGCCCTCGCGCAGGGGACTAACGCATCAGTTCAGTTTGAGCAGTGCCATTTGCCTCTTTCCTTTGAGCCTCGCCTAGCCTTTGCCCAACATAACCCCCACAATGTGCTTTGCAGCCTATTGTTCTGTCGGTCGTGCGAACTGTTTGGAACGGTTGTGTGTCCTACGCATGGCCATGCGTGGCCGCAGTTATAGTCGCCGCCTCGATTCAATGTAGAGACTCCTCGATCGCCGTGCTGGCGAGAGATGGTCGAGGCCCTTTGTCTGATCAGACAAAACCAGCTCAGCACTGCCACATTGCAGTTTTCAAACGTCCACATTCCTTTGCGCTGCACAGGTGGTGGACCAGCAGAGCCATATAGGTGTGGACCGCCCAGGCGCCGAACTACCAGCTGCAGGTGTAGACATACTGTGGTTAATTGCTTGCCGAACACCGAACACGCTCCTAGAGTTTAAGGCCCCAGGTACAGTCAGGCTAGAAGCCTGTCCGCCTTGGCACATCTTGGCACCATGCAGATGTGGGTCCCCTCCCGCATTTTCTGGTTCCAGGTAAGGGATACACCGACCATGATGTCGCTGATGCTGATGCCCTCTTGGGTGTTCAAGAATTTGTGGGGCGCAACGTAAAGCTGCTACAGGAGCTCAGCTGCAACAGCCAGAACTTTTGCCTAGTCGCAAGACGGTACCCTCTGGCAGGAGCTGATAGTTGATGCGACAGCAGAGTCCTTTGCAGAGGGTGACGTGATTCTGCCTGCTGGAGTGGCCGTCTCAGTTCTCACGACCACCTTGCCTCATGTCAGGCTACAGCTGAGAATGCATGATGCTTGTTTCAGCTGGCAGCTTCTGGTAGAAGCATGACACGCAACAGTGCGTACAGCAGATGGTAGGCATCGCCGTTTTTTGTGTTGGACCTGACATCGTACCTGCCTGGGTAGATCTGTGACAGTGCAATGTGCGAACAGTAAGGAAGCACGGGATCCAATCATCTTGCCAAATTCCATCGCTGAAGCCAGGCACAGGTTGAGAAGATGTATTTTCTCCGACACGGAGAGGCGAGTATTCACGACGCTTGTCAGCAATTCAGTCCCAGCATAAAGAACAGCTCGCGGCCTGGCTGTCTCCCCATGAACTGAGTTGATGCTTGGCTTGCAAGGTTGATAATGTCCGAGTCGAGCGGGTTCCTTGCGGGTCCCTTTTGGGACTTGCAGCCCTCTTGCCGCAAAAGCTGTGCCAGAGTATGCCAACATGGGCGAAACATTCTTCATGCGCAAGTTTAATCACATGTGTTCTTGAGGCCATGTTCGAAAATCGTCAGCTTCCTGTCGAGATTCGAGCAGCTGGCCCATGCCAGTGCCGTGCCATCTCCCACTCTGCGGCCCGACGGAATCAACAGCTTGCAAAGCAACTTCCAAGTGCATTGCACGAACGAAATCTCTAGCGGGCGAAATGTGAGCAACTCGACAAGTCCCATGCGATTGCACAGTTCCCGTCTTGTGCTGCATTGCAATGAATGCAAACCCAGAACTTCCACGCCGCGTTGCAGAATTACCCGGAGGCCAGCCGGCAAGGCGCAAGTAGCAGGCACACAGGTGCTACTGTACAAGTAGAGCTCCTGGCAGCGCTGGCATCAAGTACTGTCTTTCTCTGCGCAACCTATGGCAAATGTTTCTCAGCAGAAAGGTAGCTTCTCCAAAATGTCCATTCCAAATGCATGAGAATAGGTCTTGGGTCGCGTCAAGGTAGTTCTCGTCGCAGTTGGGTAGTCATCGTGAGGATCTCCTTCACTTCCAGAACGAAGGGGCCAAGATGCAGAAGCAGGTGTGCCATGATCAATTCCAATAAATGTATTCCAGTGTCGCAGCACGAAGACATACTAGTCACTAGATAGTGCTTTGAAGGATGGTGCCCGGTGGGAGCGACTTGGCGCTGTCCAGCGGACCAAGCGCAAGCTGAAGGTTGGCAGCTTGTGCAGGATCTTCTTGAGCTATAGGCATGGTGTTCCAAACATGAATCTCTGCCAGGCCATCGCAAACATGCGAGCTGAGCGTGCCTCGCAGAAAGCTGCTGAAGCTGAGGACGAGGCCACAACGTTGTCAAAATGCAGAGATAGAGAGAAAGAAAGAGAGCCCTTTTGGCTCAAGCTCCTTTTAGATCGAACAGGGGAAGGCGACGCCCCTCCGCGAAGTTCATTGGAGGAAAGGTTTTCGGGTACAGGAAGGGAAAGGCATTATTGTCTAGTGAGGGTTCTGGGGAATAAGCCCCCTATCGCGGAGACAGCCGGAACCTGGAACACTTCGGTAAAGGTAAGTAGGATCAGCTTCGTCTCAGATCTTCGGGTTTGCCCAGGCTTTCGAGTTGAATGGTGATTGGTCAGTTAGTGCTGTGTCTAGGGTACAGTTTTGGTGAAAGGGAACAGCCTTGCAGCCGTGCCGCACACCACAAACTGTGGGAACCGGAGTCCACACGGGCAACGCGGCTACAGCGAGAACCAGCCAGATACTGGATATGGACAGCAGGGAAAGACAGGTTACGCCATCCACGTTATCAAACCTGACAGGGAGAAGCGGAGAAGACAAGGCAGCAAGTGGAATGGGAGACTGGGCTATATCATCGAGCGTGCCAACTGGGAAGAGGAAAAAGGCAGCAACCTGCTGGCAAGGGAGCTGCAAAATGTGGCCGAGCACATGGAGGAAGACCTTGTATATGGCAGCATACAAACCTTCATCGAAGCATTTGCTGGAAAGTGAGTCGTGGACATGACAGATATGGGATAAAGGTACTATGCTTGAGAGAAAAATTTTTTGGCGGAACACAAATTTGATGCCAACAGAACACAACGATCCAACTGAACCGCCTGAGCACAGCTGAGCCAGGTACAAAGATTAAGGATAGAAGGAATTCAGCATGCGCGCCAGCAATTGGGGGACAAAGCTTCCTCATGAGGCTGGTACATTGAACCAGTAACGATCCATGCAGGAAATTCGCTGACCCCGCAGTACTAAGGGAACGTGGAGTCATATATGTTGGCTATAGTTGGTGCTGCTTACCGTGGGGAGCGGGAAATTCGTAGGTGAAGACAACAATGCACAAACCCAGACAAGTGGGAAGGTGGCACAAAGTACAGGGAACTCCGGATAATCAGGAAATCAGGGAGTGCCATGTAGATAATCCTGTAAAATGTAGACACCCAGCACAATGAGCAGTGGACGCAGGGAGGAGTGATGGGTATACCAAGGAATTTCTTGTCGGGAAATACGGAACAATCACTC